AAAAAGCAGAGAAAAAAGAAAGAAACGAAGAAGAAGACCATAGACGGTGCTCGTGTCGAGAAAGGATGTATGAATGACGTTTCCCAAGGAAGAAATTGAGCTACGATGCTGATAGCCTCATAGGCTTATCACTGAATTACCCTCAGCGACTTTTAACTATTCGCTGACCTTTTAACTGGCCAACACTGGTTAACTGCTTCTTCTGGTTTTCTCCTTTGGTGATAACGTGCTACTTTATGAGGCTTTTCGAGAGACGTTATACGATGCTTTCTTATGGTTTACTATTTCTCAAGAGTGAAAAAGAAAGGGCAAGTTTTGTGGAGCTTATTTTGTCCAAGGGGGCTTTTGAGTAGATCGACTGGGATGTTTGACTTATCGATGGATATAATATTTCTAAGAGAGACGTAATTCAATTTTCTGTATAATGGTAAAGTTTAATTTTTTGGTCTGTAAATGAAGATACACCATCTAATAACCATGTAATTATTCTGGATAAAATGAACAACCTAAGAAATGTGCAAAGATTGGCATAGACACTTTATGCAAAAATTAACGTGTTTTACTACAATCTGATTAATGGATTTCCTTTACTAAATACACGCCGATATCAAGTATCAAAGTTTGACTATTTTAAACGAGTTATCAATTAGTTCTGGAACAAGTGGGATGGCTGTTACAGTGAAACACGTGGTGCGTTCGATTCCACCCACGACTACTCTTTTCAGATACTCGTAAATTCGCAATTTACTTCTATTTCTGCAATGACAAATGCCAGTCCTTGAGCGAAGTCATGACGTAATGCGTTATCTCAGTGTCAATCTTAAAATTAATGTCCAACTACATCGCGTGAAAGTGTCGTACACGATGATTACGAACAGCAAACTGCTTGGTCATTAATATGCACCAAAAAATGCCTCTCCCATGCAATTTAATCGCCACGATAAATCTACATAACTTATGTCCAGGTAATCGTTCTTAAATGCAACTTTTCTTAGCAAATTTTCGTGCTACTTTAATACCGAATGGAATAACGATTATTATTTTCCTTCTTTTATTTCGAGAAAATATTAATTCCCGATATATATATCGTGAATGAAATATAATCGAACGAAGAACGCCATCTTATCAAACTTATAACACACGGATCGAAGATAAGCTGGATACGATAACTATAACGCAACATTAATCAGAAAAATAATCGAGAGGACGGTAGACTAAAAATTTTTAATCAAAACCGATTTTAAAATGAAACGCCCATATTCGAGGAGCCCGAGCATTGGAATATCGATAACGATGGTAGATCTTGATTTTCTGTACAGTTATCTTGAAAATCTGTCTCATTCACCTCGCACGGTATCGTCTATCAAAATAATAGTACTAAAAAAATAAACACAGATTAATCGTTTGAAATGCATGGTAGTAAAGAGAGATTAAATTTTGTAGAAGAGTACGTGAACCTCCATTGATTCAAATTTTTATTCGCCAATTCCAACTTGAACAGCAAACTGTTACCGACAGTACAAATGCCTAAAACAAATACAGGTCGATAAATTAATATCGGAATAGAAATGGTATAATTATTTTTAAATATTTATAATCATTTTTACAATCACTCACTCTAATCGTTTGATGTCACCTTACAATGAAACCTATTTCGTCGCGAACAGCGTATGAAACTGGTTACAAAGTTGAATGGGAAGTAAGCCATTACGTTGAGTCAGGGAACTGTCCTTAATTTACCGGCTCTATGTTTCGAATTATTGATACAACGCCGTTAAAATAATTAACTCTCATTACATTTCCACGGTTTCACTTTTCTTTCTGCGTGCAGACGACGAATACATTATACTTCTTTTTTGTCGTTACCTATGGACAAAAGTTGAACGAGTGCCGCGATTGCGCAAAGCACAATTACCTGAGGTAGACTCGAACCTTGTTCCACAGATAATGCAGTACGACAAGAAAGTCGAATTATTGCCCCTAGCTACCACTCGAGACGCACTTTGTATCGTAATTTACATTTTGCACGGCGCATGGCGTAAATTGGTATGTAAATTAATGTAACGAAAAAAATTCGACGTATCTTCAAAGAAACGACGATTCGCTTAAAATAGTGTCAAGTCGATTATTACACCGTAGTGTAATAACTAAACTTCTAAAACACTTATAAGCTGACGTAAAACCATGAACGCCAGTTAAGATACCATGGTCGAATGGCAGGCTAAATAAATACGGCGCAACCAATATTTTATTTCACTTCCCCTCCTCTATCATCATTTCCCCACTCTGTCCTTTCGATAAACTTCAAAGAACACGCATTTTAAACGATTCAAAACAATCGCGAATAAAAAGAAATATTTACGCAATATTCACGGAAATCGTGATCCACAGAAAAAACGATCGTATAAGTAATCAACCTTCGATGAATATAAGTCGATAGTTTTGCCATGAAATTCTAAATTTCTACTTAGTCTACCACATGGCACTAAAAACGTTCGTTCCATGGTCAGATCGGAAAGGTTAGTAAATCGCTTCGTAAAACAGCCGTATTGAGCCGAACTAAACCGAACATATAGGTTGAGCAAGTGAAAGTGAGGTTAGGTTGGTAGCATCACGTGGTGCACCACGGGGTCCAAACGAGGTTAATCGAGAGACCAAGAACCGAGCGCCGGCGCAACCAATGAACATAAAATGCGTGCTTACTATTCTGTATTCCTCTTCTTAAGGTTTATTTTAAATAAATCTTTCAAAAAGTAAGATTCGTTTGCTTCCTCCATGTAGTGTTCGGTATCAATGAACAAAAATAAAAAGCAATTAACATGCAAATTTAAACGTCACAACGAAGACATCCATGTTCAAAGAAAATATCGACGACACGGTGATTCGTCAATGGAAACAGAAGAAAAACACGTTTCATATTCGTTCGATCGCCGCTAGTCAGCGCTGAAGTAGTATTTGCGCGAATTTCGAAGAAAAGAAAAAATGCGCGTTCTAACAAGACGAATGAACGAGGAAGAGGAGGGGAGATCTGCGAGCCCGTATAACAGGAAATACCAAAAGATATTCTTATATTACGAATTAAACGAAATTACGATGATACTTACCAATCAATGGAAATATACTAGGTTGATCGAGCAGCGACTTGAGACTGTTTTCAACAAGAGTGGGAGAAGAACGATCCTTGTCACTCATTTCACGCACTGCGCCACGAAGCCGCACGTTCTGAGGGTACACACGCACACACAGTCGGTTCGTATACGGAACACCGCACGAAAGAACGAACGACAGATATAGATAGACTTTCTATGTGTATACACGCCAACTACAACTGTGTACGCGGAGCAGAAACAGCACACACACGAATGTAAACGTGTAATAACAACGAGCACGCAGGCAACGAGAACGATGTGCCTCCCGTGGGACACAATTAAATGACGTTCTTCCAGACCGGCAGAGAGAAAAGGCGCCCGCACCCGAACCTCTCACCTCGTCACGCTGTTTCTACTATCACCCGAGACGGTCGCGGCCCGTTCGAACACTCTGGCCACGTTAAAATAAACGCGGAGCGCTACCCAGTACACGGTGCTCTTGAAAATCAATCTAAAAGTGGATCGGCTGGTGGCGCAATCTCCTGGCTACCCTCTGGACCGACTCGCGAACAAGTGAACGACGCCTGCCGTACTGATAACGAACACTGTCTTTACTTTTGGCTTATCGCGATGCGCGCGCATTCAACCGCCCTCCCGCTTCCCCCCTTGCATGTTTTCTGGCCGCGATCAGCGGTTCTCGTGAAATCTTTGATCACGATGTTTCTTTCCTTTTCCGTTATTTCAGATTATTTTTCCTTACCGATATACGATCTCGTAAATGAACTACGGACCCCCGAGTGCATTCATAAAGCATTAATTTTATTTATTTCTTTTCTTAAGATTTTCGTATAGATTTGATAGGTTCGGTGTTGAGTGTTTAGAAGTCGAAAACGTAATCATTTGTCATTTTCTTCAAATTTAAAGAACACATTTTTCTTATTCGTAAATTGTTAGTAGAAAATTGTTCCGTAATTGTTTAGAATACGTGTTGAAAAATTATGTAGCCAGGTTTATCGGTATGTAACTTATAACCACACAACCTAAAAATGATCTTTACAAGATTCTTGACAAAAGATTCTATGAAAAATATAAATGTTCATGAAATGAAAATTGATTTAATTATTATATGTTTAAATGTCAAAAATTGAAATGTATGCATCTGCATAATGAACCTAAAACAGACTAAAAAAAAGATGTTATCAAAGTACTTGTAAATGTTAAATGTATAGAAACTCTTATAGTTAATTATATGGTTAAGTGATTTTGTTACCAATTAAAAAAACTTTTCAGACGTTGAATGCTGAATACTTTATGTCATTCTTTATGTACAAATCTATGAAAACTAAAACGGATTACAATTTTGATGACTTATGATTGCATAGTAATACTTGTAAGTACAAATTGAACACTATTTGGAAGTCGTAGCTGTTTGAAATATTTTTGAGTACCTGTATGGAGGCAAAATGCTCAATTACAATATTAGTATAACGCATCGACATTTAAGATTCATATGATTGTCAATTACTTTCATTAATACAAATGCTGAAAACAACTTTTACAAATTCTTTTGCACATAACTACCAAGAATTATGTATTTTTTTCCTATTACACATGAAAGTACTAACTAAGCTCGCATACATATTAACCTTCTAATAAAGCTCTGAACAAATTTATATTCTAAAGTACTGCATTAAACTGCTCATAATATCAATGCCAAATAAAACATAAATAGAAAAGAATTTTAAAATAAGATATTAGTTACTCGCGTTATCTTTGCTTTAAAATAGTTTAAAAAGTTTCTCAAACGTTAAACCTTTCTTGAAAAAGAAGAAATAAAATACAAATTGAACAGAAACATTCAGAAACGAGTATTTACAGAAAAAAATTACACTGTATGAATCAATTGTGCCTTCAATGTTCGGTCATCTGTTCATATTTGAATGTATCAAGTACATTCACCAGAGCTATCTCATTTAGAAAGTAGTTTATGTATATCGCTCGTAAAATCATTCAAACCCAGACGCTCAAAGACTCGGTAGTAGTTTGGGAGGTGGCGAAGCTGTTACGCTGTTTATTAAAAAGAGCTTGAATTTCAGCTGGAGTAGAAGACCATCTACGATGTCTGGCTTTTTCCAAAGGTACCTCGGGCAAACCCACCTCCGTGTGGCAACCTCTTATGGGCGAGATTGGCAGACCATTAGGTAAACCAATTTCTTGAAAAGAACTCATAGAAGAAAATCCACTCTCATCCTCAACACTGCTTACACTAGCAGCTGGTTTTGATTTCGAAGATTTCTCCTTCTCCTTTTTTTCTACTTTCCTAACACGTTTATTTGGCGTAGATGTTGGTGTACATGTGAAAATGCCATCATGATCTGGCATGGAAACATTAAAGCAATTATTATTTGAAAGTGTATCTTCCTCTTCGGTGGTTTTGCTGCTTCCTGAGTTGAGCGATGTGGCGTCGAGGGATCTTCTTACACCGGGAAGAAGGTTCTGCAAATTTCGATCGACTTCCACGACGTTCGATGGCGATTTTAAGAAACAAGTTCTACTATCGTTATCGGTACTACTCGACTCGTTTCCACGATCGCAGCTGGAGCGACAGAACCCAACAGTTTCTTGTATGCTCGTAGAATTTACAAAGCTATTATTCTGCAGATTGAGTGCTATTCCGTTGGCGTGGTTATTATGACGATGATGATCTATGGGCGAAGGAGACGAATCATTATTCTCTATCGACGAGACTCTGACCAGATCAGGCTCTCTCATTGCGAGCAACGACTGAACAGTTCTCATTAACCTGGAACAATTAATTTAGAATACGTTACAATCTTAAACTATCAATCATTCTTATATAATTCCAAGTAATGTAAGTTATTATATCGATACCTCGAATTTACAGTTACATACCTAAATGCTTCTTGTGATAATTTCTCAGGCGGTATGTCGTTCGGATCCAGCTCTGACTGTTTGGGCCTTCTATAAACAACACCGTCGTGAGTTTTATTGAGCTCCTGAGATTTATTACGCGGAGGAGTACAGTGTGCTGGATCGTTTCTACGAAGCATCGACCAGGTGAATTCGCGATAACTCGTGGTACATGGTGAGATCTGTGTGACCGATTTCGCCCTCGCAAAGCGAGAAGAACTCGAAGACGAGGATGCTGAAAGAGCACGATTCGGCGAAGAATCCGCATGAACAGTGTGAACGCTACGGCTACGTGGAACTCGCCCCATTGAATTCTTGTCCTTAAGATTACTCTTCTCGTGAAGAATATCCAAGCTCTTGCGGGCTCGGTCCAGGAAACGTACCACCTGCTCCATCAGTGAACGGTACATTTGTCGGTTTGCTTCTATCTGCAATTTTTACCATGATAAATATTCATTTAATTCATCATTTTATATCTTTATTTTGATTTAATCTAAAATAATTTCTAATTACCACAGTGTATACTTTATTATTGTTAAGTTTTGTGGACATTAATGTATAATACCTTTGACTACCGTATTCGAATACAGTGGTATACAAACCAAAATGCTAAATATAGCACTTGGATATTTTTTGGGGCCAAACGTGAAGCATTCAAGGAATGGGGATAAGGTAATCTGGTCGAGGACATCAACAATTTCCTCTTGTAAATCAAGTATGTTAAACGATCGTTATTCATGGTTAAATACAAACCTGTTTTAGTTGCCATTGCAATGTTTCAACCTGCGTCTGGAGGAAAACGCTGTCTATAACTTGTACATAAGGTATTTGATTGGTCGTTAAGGCGTTCTGTAGTCTTCGATTTTCTTCGATCAACGACTGGCATTGCTGAAACAGAAATTATGAAACTGTTCAGTTCTCAGTGATAATTACACGTATTTTTGCTTTCCCTTCTTTCTTTCTTTTTTTATTTTTAAATTCAATTTCTAATTTTTGTTACGCTTATATTTAACGAGGAAAGTGTCCAGCTCTCCAACGACTTTCCTGAACGTAATAATCGTTTCAAAAGAGGAAAGAAGCGCTGTGCTGCGGTGTATATGTATACACGCGTTAATACAAGGTTTCACCTTGCGTAGGAGATTTTCACACGGTGGAGTGAACACGAATCAACGTTAGCAGAGCGTACACCTGTTTATTGTACGGACATTGCTTTTCCAATAGCGGTATATTTTATTTAAAATAACACTCTGCTCTAATAAGTTTTAAACATAGAAAAAGTAATAGTATTTCTAGATTTCTGTTCAATCTACAATTTACATTCAAAAATTGTTTGCCACTCGTATAGTCAATATCCCAGGCTCTTTACTTACTTTCTAAAACAATATTCCACAATTTCTACTAAATTTACCAGCATTATCTCAAAATTTCTGTTAAATCGATGATCCAAATTACTATTTACTAAATTCGTATAATTTAAAAAGACCCAATTAGCTTACCAAGAAATGCCCTAGAAATTTCTTCCTCTTACCCAGATAGGAATAATCAAATATCCAAATACTGACCCTTCAAACTCTCATCTTTAGAACGCTACATTATGCTACCCTGACAGCATTCTAATGAAGTCCGAATAGGAAGTGCAGAAAGAGAGATGGCGCAATTTTTGTTCAAGTTCGACCATTCCAATCACGAAGTCGCTATTGAACAAACAATTAGACACTGGCGAGCAGTTACTTCAGACTACTTCAAAAGCTTCGAACATCGATGATGCGCCGCCATTCGAACTGGTCGGCTGCATTTGCATATTTCTTTCTTTTCGGTGGCCGAGTCGCGGAGACCGGCATAAAAGAAGTTCGAAGAAACACGAGGTTTCTGACATTTCCATACAATGGCGGGAAAAATACGGTACGGGTTGCGAGATATCCGGCGATGGGCCATGCTTGATAACGAAGCCAGGACGCGCGAGATGTTGAAAGAATCATGCGTTCATCATTCGAATCGGTCGCCACGCGTTCAGCTATCGCTGTTATTAAAATCACCAGAGATCTGCCATACCGATACGAGTAAAGTACTCGATATTTCGGAAACCTTGAACATCCGTTCTCTTAAATTCTCTGAATACTCTCGATACCAGCGGATTCGGTGTTTCTCCTTTCTGATCATCTCCGAACGACATATTCCGCATATTTCATGTATTCATATTTGCATTACAGAAAACCTATTCGATTAATACCGAACCAAGTGTACCATGGAACTGTGTAAACTGTTTGAAACCCAGATGAAACGATTACATTCAGTTATAAAATAGCAGCAAGTGCACCTCATTTTCAATGTTGACACCAGTATTAACGATCTGTATCGTGTATCTAAATACAATTAAAATTCTACGATGAAAATAAATCGGTATGTATAATCGCCTGTTTATTTTATTACGTATCTCGATAAAAGATGACACGAATTTTATCAGAAATAGATATACAAATACTTCCTCAAACTTCAAGAAAAGTTTAGAATAGTTCATTTCAAACGTTAATACCACTTAGTATGTGATATCGATAATATTAACAATTTTTCTTTACGCTTCCAGAGAATATTTCCATTCGCCTAATGAAACATCCAACTGCGATTACTATAACGAATCATCGACGACCACACGAAACGAGTACCGAATACTTACAAATTACATGCTGCACGTGATAAATTACCAAAAAGAAAAAGAAGAAAAAAAGTCAGCGTTCACGGTGGAGGAGTACAGAGTCTTAGTTGGTTTCACCGATACCATATTGGAGGAACGATCGCAAGAAGATCGGTACCGTTTTTACACGTAGGTGAAACTGTAGGACGAGGGAGGGATAGGACGATGTGTTTTGTCTATGGTTTCTTTAACGATCACCACCAAGGGTTTCTCCGAGTGTCGTGCCACATAAGGGAATTTGTACGGAAAGCTGAAATTTTTCAGCGGGGGCCTAAGCGGATGGGGTTCCACATGGTCGCTCAGCTTGAACCGTCCACCGGCTGAATACTATCATGACGTCACTCGCTACGGTCACTGCCTGAATTATTCAGTATTTCTTCGTTTCTACTTGTACACACTGGCTGGCTCTTTGTACCTAATAGTCGTCGCCACTCGCACACGATATTATACAGGGTGTCACGTAACCGGTGGTGCAACCGGGAAGGGGCTGATTCCTCAAAATTCAAACGGATATAGAATATATGCTAAAACTGTTTTAGAGAATCTGTTGGAAGAATTCACGAACTTGAACAAATTCTGTCGTCAACGATACTACTGAGTTGTAATTTCTATTTAAATGTAACATACGTTGTCAGTCATGTATGTTATATCGTATACTGTGTAATTATATTGTGTATTATATACTGTATATTATACATATTATACATTATATATATTATATAAGTATTTGAAAAGATAATACAACGTTATATAAAACGAAGTTTCTATTTCATGCTATAATAATCAATATTAATTTTGCCAAAAAGAATTACGTCTTTGTTAACTGCAATAGCAGGCCTGATATCAATTCTTCTGTCTTGGTTTGATAACTCTAGTGTGAATCTCTTTGTTCCTAACATCGACTACAGTCGCTGTATTGAATAACATTTTTATTTTCTATAGTTGAAGTTTATAAAACAGCGAATTGCATAAAAACAGTCTCAATATATTCCAAGCTAAATTTTTCCTACTTTCTCCATAGGCTACTGATCGTTCATTTATTAATGACTACTTGTTCTTCGTACGAGGATTTTATATCGTCACTGAAAACATACATTACGTGAAAAATTGCGATTAATACGCGCATGATTCTCCCAGTGAAAACATGGCATTACCACTAAAAATACACGTTGGTCGAAAAAAGAAGAAACAGACGTAGTGAAAAGTGACTATGAAGGTTTTTTTCGTCGAAACGGTATTGAACGCGAATAATGGAATCGCTGTAAAAGGTACAGGTGACATTCACGTGTGCATGGTACAGCGTAGAGATGAAATATGGCTAAAAAATACACGAGAGAAATATAACACGAGATAAAATTCTGGGACACAAATCAAACACGAGTACCGTACGATTTTTATCGATAGCCTGTTCCATGACTCGATGACTATAAAACGAAACGATGTATTCATCGGAAATTATTTAAATAAAAAATTGCAGAGAAAGGTCGCTCGTTGGATCATCTATAAAAATTTCAACGTCCACTAGAGGCCGGCTCGATATTAAGATGTATTTTTTCCTGAATGGAAAAAAGGACTCATTATACTGTATAAACAGCCACCATTGAAAATTCTATAATAGCGAAAAATCAACATGCATCCGGACAAACTTTTATTCGACACGGTTACGAATGGTTACACCTTTGGAATAAGGCTATTAACTCCGAAAGTAACTGTAGAATCGGGACAAAGAATTGTCTGTCCTTCGCATAATTACAAGAACTTACGCGCTATTGATCACGGTCTTAGTACGAAATTATCATCCTTCTAATCAGCCTTGAATGCGTTCATTCGTTTTCACGTGTAAATTTTTCCATTTACGACCATCATAGACAAAGGTGCATCAGAGACAAAGGGCCTTCCAGGTTATTCCTACGTACCTGCCGCGTTTACCACTGCTATTCGACCCTGCTAATGACCACGATTTTACCATGTACTTAACAATTCACCAGCTCTAATCTGATCCTAGAATAAAGAAATTGTAAAAATATCTATATCATAAAGGTTATTTTACTTTGGAGTTGGGTACGTATAAAATCAATTGAATAGAGCTATGGAGTTCCAGGCAGAGGATTAAATGGCACTGTCTTAAACTGAGAAATCTCATGGTATTTTACAATATCGTGAATGTCTACTATATATACATGTATAGAATAATATCGCTATTATAGTATTCTATACCGATTGCATAGTATGTTACTATAGTAGAATATGAATGACCAGTCTCTTCATTATAGTCACAGTTTAGTTTGTATGTAGATAGAATTACTCACAGTCATTGTCAAAGTTGATTTTGAACGTAGATAGTATTACTCATAGTCATTGTCAAAGTTTACTTTAAACGTAGATAGAATTGCCAGCAATTATTATCAAAGATAAATTTAAATGTCAATAGAATTATTCGCAGTTGTGTTGTTTGGTTTCGTTGTAAATAGAATAATAGAAACGTCGATTACTGGAAATTAAGTCATCAGTAGATGTAACTATATATTCGTAATTATCCAGTGTTTTAGAACCAAAGTAGAACGAAAGCAACATTGCAACACGTTCTTCCTCCATTTTTACATGCAAGGATACGCAATGCTTCTTCTTGCCTCTCATCCCATAATTCCTTTTACGCGATATTTCTTTTCATAATCCACCATGAAGTAAAAAGCATCGGGCAAGAAAATCCAAGGAGAAAAATTCTCTTTCGCGAAGAAAGAGAAAGATTATTTATTATTATATCCAGTCTACGTTATATCTAAAACGAAGAAAGAAAAGATTAAAGAAAATTGTATTATACTTTTTAACATATTTTACACGTGAACCACCGCGTACCATCGATAACGCCACGGTACATAGTCAGACGGAACAGAAACTTCCGTTAGACGAACAAAGCTGAGAGAATATGAGAAAGAAGAAAAAAAAATTAAAAAATCCGGCACGATTTATAGTTTTTCACCAATTAAATATTCCATCTGTTCCAATTCAAATCGAAATCCCCGCCAAAAGTTACGGCGTGCTGTTTAAACGCGGAACAAGCGAAACACGACACACCGCTCGTACAAACGCGATCACAGAGGAATCAGAAACGCGATACGATCTAGAAAATATGTGACAGAATGAAGGCGTGCAAGAAGAAGAAGGAGAAGGAGGAGGGAGACAAATGCATTAAGGG